CCTGATGTGGCTAATCCTGCGCAGCTCTAGAAAAATCGCCTTGCATAGCATGTTAATGTGACTTTCCAAGGTAAGTCTTCTGTCTAGGTAGACACCCAGGTACCGCACTGTTTGAGCTAACTCAATACGCACTCCTGAAGGAGTAATTGATGTCGTGTTATTTGCAGATTTTTGCTTCTGAGCGGTCGCGATGGGGAGCAGCTCAGTCTTATCATCGTTCAATTTGGTATCGTCTTTTGTTGTGTTTTGTTGAAGAACGAGCCATATACTTAAAGAAGAAATTAATTTCTCCACACGGATAACACTACATAACTTAGGGGGCTATGCCTCTTCCTGCCCTAACGTCACTGATTGACACATTTGTTGTTGATTTTTTTATATAAAGGGTTTTAAAAAAAAACAACAAAATCTAATATTATTTTGGAAAACATTAAATAAACAAATCAACATATTAAAAAATATAATTGTTTCCAATAAAATACATTTTAATTTGTTTATTAAAAATGTATTTATTACGTAGAGTAAATTCAATAAAATGCAAATGAACATATTCTTTAAGTTATTATAACACAATTATAAGATCGGAGCTGTGACGCTTAAGTTAATGGAACCATAGGATAGAGCACGACAAGCACGTCGAAATGTCTTTAAAGCACTACACAGCAAATTGCCATTACTCATAAATATGGAGCTTTAACATGCATTTTAAATCTATCAAGTGGCTGTTCAAAAAATTGAGAGAGGGTCGCCAAAAAATGCATACTTTTTTTTTAATTTCATTATGAAAACATATTTAAGTATGGACTGTACTGAAGAGAAGGCGTTGTACATCTCTTTGTTACATGACACCAGCATTCAGAGACTTTCCCTGTATTGATTCTTTCGGGGTTTAGAAGGAGCTTATGCTTTACCGTGATTAGGATTGTTATATTTCAAGTTCTTTACAGCATGACACACTCCGCCTCAATGGGTTTTTAAATGATGAATGGGCGATATTTTGAAGTCTAAAAAGTAATTAAAATCTGTAGAAATCCAATTCTGATATAGTAAGGAAAACCACCTGGCGTCCTAATTATACCCATCATAGCACACCCGCCTGTTGCGTCTGTAAAACTATCCTCAACTCTCTTTTGAAAAACGGAAGAAAACAAGTTATGTAATTTCGCGTTAGATCATGTTCCCCTGAACTTCAGGTGACGTCCTTTGTAGAGTGACGCCCCGTGGAACCGTTCAGCATGAACAGCCCAAGGAGTGAAGACTGTTTATTATATTGAACCGTCCCTTGTCCAGAGAGTGTACCCTGGATGATGTCCCCTTCTGAGAGGTAAAATATCCCACCTGGACGTAAAATAGTAAATATCTGTGGTAAGTGCATAGAAGGGTAGATTGAATTCCAAATAAATTATTGTTTACTGCACCAACCTTCCAAAAAAAAAAAAAAAAAAATATATATATATATACAACTAAAAAGTAAAAAAGAAAATATCTGTGGTAAGTGAATAGAAGGTGAGATTGAATTCCAAATAAATTATTGCTTACTGCACCAACCTTCCAAAAAAAAAAAAAAAAAATATATATATATACAACTAAAAGCATGAATTGCTTAAAGGATTGTTAAAACATCGATATTACTATTTTTTTTATTTCTTTATTTTTTTCTAGGCTGGGGGCGGGGTTTAGAATACTAACTGACAGGTATTAAAAATCACCTGTGTAAGCTGTCTCCTGACTGTTTGTACAGTTCGGGCAAATGGTGAGCACGGACCTGAGCAACACATTTGAGTTCAAGGGGCTGTTGGGACTCTGCCTCAACACGTAATGAATCCAGGTCTGC